AGCTATGTTTACCCTGAGAAATGTGTACTATTGAAGAAAGGAGTAAAATGGCCCAGGACTGAAAGCAGGTGTCTGACTTCCCAGAGAGCGGCCCAAGCAGGCAAGCGGAGCTGGGTGCAGGCGCTCGTTTCCCTCCCAGATGGGGCAGAGAAGGGGGGTCTCTGCTCAGGGAGGGCTGGCACCCACAGCTGGTCAGTGGGATGCGTCTAAAGCAAGTATGTGTGTACAGTTGGCGGATGAAGTCATCTTCTTTTCCTGCATGTCTTTTCTTTCTGTCACAATATCTGATGCGGCATCGCAAAAATTTGTGGGATCTTCCCTCTGACCTTACCTCCCCAGTTTTATTTTTCCTTTTTTTTTTTTAATATCTTCTGTCCAATTTGGATAAAATCACCTGAAAGCTGGGAAAGTTCTGTTGCATGTAATGTCAGGAACAATGGCTATGGAAAGTGACGACTTGATGTGACGTGGGCTGAGACACCCAATCGCGTGTGTGCGTATCTTCTTTGACTACGAGACAAGCAGTGTGTCTTTTTGGCTGTCGCATCCTGTCATGGGGTCCCAAGCTTGTCTCTAAGGGCTCTTTAAACACATTCGAATTGGTGGACTTTTTGCAAGGCTGTTAGGGGTAATAACAGTGACATTTATTGCGTACCTACTCGGTTAGGCACTGGGCCAAGTGCTTCACATGTATTACTCTATTTAATCCCACAGGGAAGGCACAGAAATAATCTCTTCATTTAAAAAGGAAAGGCAGGCTTAGGAAGCTTAAGTAATATGCTCAAATCATGTTGCAGGTAAATGGTGTGGCTGAGATTAGAACCTAAGACTTCTAGCTCTTTTCTATTAAGACACTTACTCCTGTTCTTGAGAATGAAAATATTTGTGGTTGTCTCATGATGAAGCATGCTGCTCGGATATAAAAATTAAGAAGTTTCTGTATTATTTCAAAAGAATGCTAACAATTTAGGACCATGATTATCTAATGGTTTTCTCTGCAGACAGTACATTTATCAATCACCAAAGAGAAATTAGTCTCTACAAGATGGAAATAATAAAAACCTCAAGTCCCACTCTTCAGAAAGCCCGCCAGGACTAATTAGGTAATAGCTCCGTTTCCTCTCCTTGGGGATGGCTGCTAAAGGACCTGGGATAAATCCAATTCTATTTTTCCAATTCTATTTTTCAGAGGTTATATTTGACTCTGACATTGGCCCTTGAATCTAGATGTCATCCGAAGAGTTTTTTGAAAAGGAAAAGTATCAAGCATTCCACCACTTCTGAAATATCTGTTCCTTGTTCATTTGTTGATGTTTTAAGCTCTCAGGACGTGTCCCTAGGTTTTTCCTCCTTTGTCGTTGGCCTAGAATTCTCAGGCATGGTTTATCCCAGAGTTGACCTCTAATCTATAACCTGGCCTTATGTTTTCAGGCTAATCTTGCAAATGAGTGGGCGTCTTTTTTTTTTTTTTTCCCTTATCGAAAACTGTATTTCTCATTTTAAGATAGACTGCTGAAGACGGCTTTTCCAGTGTGTGTGCAAAAGTTGCAATCCGTTGATTCTTCTACAGACAGTGGTCTTGCGGTGCCCTTAATGAGACTTGCTTCAAAAACTGCCTAATGGACTGATTTAAAAAATGAGGACAAAAGGACGTTGGACTGAGTGGATTTTGCATTTATGCAATACCTCCTTGAAAACAGTGTCACCTGAGAGTGTGGGAGAACTCCTTGCCTGTTACTTAGTCTAAATTCGGAAAGACTTTAGGTTTGGTTTTGGCTTTGTTGGGTGTCTGTTAATTGACTGAAAGTGAGCAGGTCCCTGGAGAAGAAGGAAGAGAGGAGACTGAGAAGGAGAGTCAGCCAGCAGAGGTGACATTAGCAATCTCTCCTAAACTGCAGCGAGTGCAAGCAAACGCGCGTGACTAAAACATGGGGTGACGCCCTCCCCGCCGCCCACGGAGCATGTCCCCCAGACAGGAGCTCGCTGAGGGCCACGATAAATGTCTATGTGTGCCCTTTAAAAAAGTATTTCATTAGTCTTTATGCCACATAAATGTTTCCTCAGGAGCCCAGGCCAGTGGATTCAAAGTAAAGCCCTTTGTGCACGTGATCGTTGCAGCCCAGCTGTTCTCCGCACGGCACCAGCGTGGTAAACAGGCAGAGGCCGGGCACAGCTGCAGGCTGATGTCACCGCCGGGGCTGGGCCTGTGCTCTGGACTCCTACCAGCGGCAGTAAAGCACCCGCTCCCCATCTGGCCCTTCCCTGCCCTCCCCTGCCCTCCCATCTCTCTGTCTGTCCTCCCCTCACCCCGCTGACAGCGGCAAGCGTCCACGTTTTTGTGCGCTTAGACCTTTTTGGTTCTGATCTGAACAGCGAGCATTTGGATGGGCTAGGATCATGTTATTCCTTTTTCTTTGTTTTCTTGATATCTGGACTTCCAAGGGAATCAGGCAAAAAGAGTGTGTGAAACCAGCATTTTTCCTGACAAGAAAGCTATTTGATACCTTTATTGCAAACTAATTCCCTGTTGTCAACTTTCCCGTGGAGTTCTGAGAGAGAGTTCACACACAGAGGCTTGCGGCCCCAACAGTTCCCTTGTGCGCTTTGTAAAGTTAGTTAGCAGAAGATAAGGTTGCGTTTACTCATTTGACTCACATTGGCTTCCTTGAATCATTTTTTTCTCCCTTGATAAACAATGAGTGCCATAAAAGGAAAAGGGAATGTGAAGATGATGTTCTGTGGTCATCAACGCAGCCATTATCTTTTACGAAATTGTTTTAAAGAAAAACAACAACTCCCAAAGTTGCATCCCAAAGGACTGACTTGTCAGTGATCTTTCATGTAATGGCCTCTGTCATCTGGCCGCCATCTACCTTTTGGGTCTCCCCCCGTGTGCCTCGCAGCATTATTCACAACAGCCAGAAGGAGGAAACAAACCTCGTGTCCACTGAGGGACGACAGGATAAGCACAATGAGGTCCATACTTACAACAGACTGTCACCCAGCTTAAAAAAGGGTAGGAAATTCTGACACCTGCTACAACGTGGATGAACACTGAAGACAGTGTGGTGAGGTTGGCCAGCCACAGATGGACAAGTGTTATATCATTCCTCTTATTTGACATACCTAGAGTAGTCACATACATAGAGACAGAAAGTAGGATGGTGGTTGTCAGGGGCAGAAGGGAAGGGGCAGTGAGGAGTTATTGTTTAATTGGTTGAGGGTTTCAGTTTGGGGGGAAGTTCTGGAAAGGGCGGCGGTGATGGTTTCACAACAGCGTGAATGTCTTTAATGCCACAGAACTTAAGTACACCTAAACATGATCGAAATACTCCATTTTGTTATGTATATTTTTCCAAAAGTTTTTTAAACTTTTAACTTTAACGTTTTTAATTTTTTTTTTTTTAAAAAAAGCTGCTGACTGAACCTTCCAGGCCACCCTCGCTTGCGTGCCATTCCCTGGGCCCTTCGGTGCTGCCCTGCATTGCCCCTTCTTGTATGTATGTGTCTGTCTTGTCTCCTCAGTTGGACAAGGAGACACTCCACCTTGTGTCTCCGTTCCTGGAGCAAGAGGCAGCTGGACGGGGTGGGAGGAGCCCAGACAACCTCACCGTCCAGACTTCTCACTGCAGGCTGCTCTTCTGCCACGTACTGGCTGTGGGCCCATGAGCAAGTTATTCATCCAGTCTGCTGGTTTCCTTGTGTATGTTTACATGTAAGAAGAAGGTCCTCGCAGGACTCCTGGGGGGGACGGATGAGGTGACGCATAGGGAGCCGCATTCTGGGCCCGTCACCAAGTAGTCGTTTCTGTTTCTGATGTTCGTTCCTTTTCCCATCAGTAAATATGTGGAGGTTTGTTTGACTTGTCTGGGTTCTCTTTAGCAGACACTACTCTTGTCATTAGCTCAATCTGGCCCATTTTACGTCTGAAACAATACCAACAGGGGACAAGCGGCTGGTTTTTCTACAGCCACGTGGCATGTCCCCAAGCCCACATCATTGCCAGAAGTCCATCCCAGGAGCCCACCCATTCCACGTTACTTCGGGAGGATAATCATGGATCTAAACTTTCCTTTTCTCTACCCTAAAACCATCTCGTTCCTTCTGTAACTCCTAAAGTACGTGTCCCTTACCAAAAGAGAGGTAAGGGTTAATTTCACAGACTCACCAGTCCCCCTTGTGTATCATCCCACTCACCTGTATTTAACAGCAGTGAAGAGAGGCTGGAGAAGTCCAAAGTCAAGCTTCCTGAGAAATGACAGAGATGTCTCAGGGCTTGTTACAGTGCGCGGGAGTGTGTTTGTGTGTGAGTCCTGCTGTGCACGTTGGCAGTTCTGGTTTGGGTAGCAGTGAAGAGTGGCATGTTCTGATTTTAAATTATGTTTATCAAATGACTTTGCCTTTTTTGTATGTTAACCTTTCAATATATTATTATTATATCGTATTATGTTATGTTGCTTTTAAAATGTGTTTTCCTGAAGTTTTTATGCTCTGGTGATTTGTTTTCAATATAGTCTAACATTTGGGTTTTTTTTTTTTTTAAATTGCTGTATTTTTGAAATAAGTTGCAATCAGCTCAAATTAAGTACAAGGATAATCCATTTACTTCTTCTCTCAGATCTGCCCTGTTCCTTTGTGTCTTCGTTTCTTCCGACTGGCTGGCCGGCCTTGGAGACACCTGGCCAATCAGAGCCTCCTCTCCTTATGGCTCCTGCACTGATTGGTCACCGCACGAAAGGGCAGTCTTCACTTGGGAATCTGCCTCTTCTCGCCTACTCCTCTTACTGCTTGCTAGAGAGAGAGTTGCGTGTGCTTTTTGCTGCCTGAGACCCATTTCCCCTTGTTCTTTTTTTTTTTTTTTTTAACTGTTCACTTCTGTTCTATTAGGTTTGAAAATCTAGTCATCAAAGAAGGGAAACATCACAGCTGTGTGTGAATGTTATGAATTTAGGGCCTTTAACAAGTCCAATGTCATCTTTTGCTTTCTCATCCATTTCCAGTCACTGCTTCAACCACCTGCGAGAAATTAGAAAAAGCCAGGAATGAGTTGCAAATAGCTTATGAAGGATTTGTCCAGAAGCTAAACCAGCAGCACCAGACTGATCTAACAGAGCTAGAGAATCGGCTTAAAGAATTTTACACCGAAGAGTGTGAAAAGCTTCAGAACATTTATATTGAAGAAGCAGAGAAGTATAAAACTCAACTGCAAGAGCAGGTCTGTGCTTTTGGAATCAGAACATGTGTTTGGCTACTTAGTTAAATTTTAATTGTCCTTTGATGATCCACTTCCTTTTACGAACTTCTCTTTGTTGAACATCCCTTGAAGAACTTTTTTTTAAAAAAAAAGTGACAAGGGTTTTCTAATTAATTGTTTTTTTTTCTTATGACTCAAGCACTGTACCAGTGTTGAGCAAAAGAGAAGGAAAAAGATAAAATTGAAAACAGTCCTTTATCTTGTGACCTAGAAATAACCCCTTTGTGAGCATTCTGATATTGTGCTGCTAAACCATTGGTTTGAATTTCTTCTTCTTTTTTAAAATGGTACTTATTTAATAATCCACATTTTTCACCTAATAGTATACCATAAGCTGCTCTTTCATTTCCTTGTTCCCTTTTACAATCGGTTTTTCACTTAGCAAATACTTAGAGTGCCTACCACAGGCCGTGTGTTAGGGGCTGAAGACGGATAGACCAACAGGACAGGTGGGGCGCTTCTGTGGTCCCAGCATCGTTCCTCATGAGGGCCTCAGCCCTGTCCACCAGCGAGCCCTGGAGAGCTGCGTGTTGGTGATCCTGAGTGGGGACGGAGTGGGGACCTGGGAGTGGCAGATTCACGTGGGGTTGGTCTGTCCGTGGCGGTCCTTCAATGAACTTGAATGCAAGCTTAGGTATCAAGGGCCCTCATGTTGCTGCATTCTATTCAACTTAGGCTTTGGATTTTACTGGTACAGTGTTGTTTTGTTGTGTTTTTTTCCTTACAGTTTGACAACTTAAAAGCTGCCCATGAAACCTCCAAGTTGGAAATTGAAGCCAGCCACTCAGATGAAATAAAATTACTGAAGAAGGTCTATGAAACCTCCCTTTCAGGCAAGGATGCTTTTTTCAATTTAAACAGAATAAGATCTAATGGAACAGTATGCTGTGTTTTAAAAGGGAAATGATTCATAACTTCCCCCTCCAGAGAACACCCTGTGGCATTCAGTTTGGGGTGTTTTGGTTTCTTTTTGCATTGTTCATTGTTAGCAGATGTCCTTTCCCCTAAGGATGCAAATAGTTTGTTATAAGTGACAGCACTTCAGGAAGTAGGCAAACTTTTAATGAACTTGAAGGCCTTCTAGGAAAGTTGCGCTCTACCACCGTAGGTGCTGGGAATTGGGGGTGCTAGCTTGTACCCTGGCCGTGGCACGGGATCCCTGCTAAGCCCTTTTGCTCGCCAGCACACTCACACACCAACACTGCTGTGAAGAACAAGATGGCACTTGGTGAATAAAGAAAGACTCGTTTTTATTAAGTCATCATGATTAGCAGGGTGGAAGTCGAAGGAAAAGAATAAGAAGCCATTTCTTGCAGGACATAGTTGGCCATGTAGCTGAAATTGCTACACTAAACTCTTTGTATCCTACAGAGAAGCATGAGGACGGGTGGTAAGAGCTGGTTGTGTGACCTTGGGCAGAGGCCTTTCTCATCAGAAAATAGAGTTGTTGTGTGAAGTCCAAAATGGCAACATGTAAAAGTGACTGGCCCAGGGTAGACATTTAATAAGCAGGGTTTTTCTTCCTTCCTGCTAGAAATGGGTTTAAGTTTAGGTTTCTGTTTGAAACGTGCATTCATGAAATGCAAACAGGGACACAGGAGCTCCAGACTGCGCGTCCGCAGGCCAGGGCGCGAGGCCACCCCGGAGGCCTGCTCTGTTCCTGTATGCGCCCTTGGCTTCTGCGGGCCTTCGCGTTCGCAGTAATAAAATAGGAAGGTATGCCTTGCTCAGCTCACAGGGCTAGACTGAGGACAGCTTAATTTGAATAAAAGCATCATTCAAATATAAAGGAACAGTCATACTGCTTCATGGTCGATTCTTGCATCTCTGTGCTCTGACAACGACAGGATACAGTGATCTCTCATAGGATGTTTAAAAATACCCCTTCTTTTCAGAAATCAAGCAAAGCCATGAATTAGAAAAGAAATCACTCGAGGATTTGCTTTCTGAGAAGCAGGAATCCCTAGAGGTGGGTAAAAATCCTTGTTTTTGAGGTTTGTATGGTGTTGGTAGGTTTCTGTGCCCATTTTGCTCTGTTTCTGGTTGCCTACATGTTGACTTATGTTCCACATTTCACGATTTGTGTTTTAGAAACAAATCAATGATCTGAAGAGTGAAAATGAGGCTTTAAATGAAAAGCTGAAATCAGAAGAACAAAAAAGAATCTCGAGAGAAAAAGCAAATTCGGTAAGTTTTGCCTGATCCTCTGTCGCTGCTGGGCTTTTCTTCTCCTCGCTACCTTTTTTTTAAATCCTAAAAACTGACATGCTGATGAAGCCCAATATATATTGCAAGTGGTCTAATCTAATACCTCCAGGAAGACAAAAAAAAACTATTGAAGTCCTCACTTTTTTTTTTTTTTGCACTAACTGCTATATTGAGATAACTTTTAAAATGTTTAATTTGGTGGTTTTTAGTAGATTCACAAAGTTGTGTGCTGGTCACCAGTAGCTAATTCCAGAACATTTTTATCACTCCAAAAGAACCTTATACTCATTAGCAGTTGCCCCTGTTCCCGCACAAAGCCCCGGCCTGAGAGGGTCACCAGGCTGCTTTCTGTCTCTATGGATTTGCCTCTTTGGGACATTTCCTATAAAGTTCCTATAAATTTCCTATTTAGCCACGTTCATGCCTATTTTAGCATGTATAGGTACTTCAGTCCTTTTTTTTGGCTGAACAGTATTTCATTGCATGGATTGCTCCTCACTTTACAAAAGTACGAATTTTTCTTTTAAGCTCCACTTTCTCTTGTACCTTGTATCCTTGCTCCCCTGCCTCACCCCTTTGAGAGAAAAAAATTTCCTGCTTATGTGTTGAGTACTGCCTTTCCAGACATCAGTGCCCTGGGACAAGAGAAGCTAAGCTTTTTTTTTTTTTTTTAAAGATTTTATTTATTTATTTTTAGAGAGGGAGAGAACTGTCAATGTGTGGTTGCATCTCACGTGCCCCTTGCTGTGGACCTGGTCTGCAACCCAGGCTTGTGCCCTGACTGGGAATCGAACTGGCGACCCTTTGGTTTGCAGGCCATTGCTCAATCCACTGAGCCACACCAGTCAGGGCATTTTTGCTACTTAAAAGCTGTTGCCAGCCCACCGAGTACCTGTGTGGGGCCTCCCAGTGAGCTCTTCACTGACAGTCACTGGGGGAGCCCTGAGACATTTCCATGCAGTTAGATCTTCATTGAAGTTTCATCTTCAATGAAACTTGAAAGCTATTTATTCTGGAAGATTCTTAGAAAAAGGAGTGATTTAAAAAAAAAAATCTAGACTTAACCTGCAGGAGGTACACCTTCCTAATGGTTTTGGTTATGGATTTTAAAGCGCTTCCTGGGGATGCAGAGGCCTTTGAAAAACTGAGGAGGACGCAGACTGAGGGGAGCAAGAATGTCCACGCCGCCCCCTCTGGGGCCCGCGAGGGTGTGGGAAGCAGAGCACAAGGGTGGGGGGGACGCGGGAGAGCCGTGCTGCCAGTGCTGCAGCTTTAAAAGTTGACAGAGCAAGTAATGCTGTTTCTTTTTAAGGAAATGGGAGAGGATTTGCTATCTTTAGGGTTAAAAAAAAAAAAATCACACGTAAAAGGATAATAGCCTACGAAATGTAGGAAGCCTTTGGGAGAACCCTGGAGTTCAAGTCCCTGCCCCCAGCACTTCCTGGGGTTCCTTGAGCAGGGCCTTTGAGCTGTGGCACTTGTCTCTCCTTTGGTGAAGTGACGGGTGCGATTAAATCGTCCCCAAGGGCCCACTCCCTGGTTCTCCATAACGACTGGTCTCGAGCATTGGCCCAGGAGGGTAGTTTAGATGATCTATGCCATGGATTCTTGTCTAAGAAATTCCCCCATTGAACATCTGATCGATAGACCTTCTGTTTGCTTGTTTGCTTGTATCGCACATACTGGATGGCTCACTTGAATTTCCATAATCACACGAGGAGTCAGGGAATCTACCCCAGACTTGTGCTCCCCTTATGTACTGTTTGTCTTTGATAGACTTTTAGTAGTACTTGTGCTTTATGCCAGTAGGTGTTGGGGTGTCACAAAATAAAATGATAGGGTGTTATGGCTGCCCGAGAAGGATCGCCAGGCCAACGCAGTCCCATCGCAATAAAAGTCCAAAAGACGCAGGACATTATTGTCATTTCTGTTGTTTTCCAGACACCCCTGTAGATGTCCTGTCTTTTTGTCCCTGATCAGTTACCGACTGTGGTGAGAGAGAGCTGAGGTTCCCGTTTCTCCCTCCAGTGCCAGGAATGCCCTGGGAATTGCCTGATTTCTAGTCAGTTCTGTTTTGTATTGTTAAGCAATACTTTTTCTCCTATATCCAATAAAATATTTGGTGCTGCCAATCATTTTTCCACATTAAGTTACTGATAAATGAATGAAACTCTTGTTTTCAAATATGATATCTCTTATTTCATTCTTATAACCAATGACAGAGATTAAAGTTATCCTAGCCCTTCTTTTTTACCTCTTTTCTTTGAAGTTACTGTAAGAAGGTAGAAATTCCTTGCCACTCCATCTAATTTCTAAGTCTAACCAAAGATTCTTTTTTTTTTTTTAATGTATTTATTATTGGAGAGAAGGGAAGGGAGTGAGAAAGAGAGGGAGAGAAACATCAGTGTGAGGTTGCCTCTGACGAGCCCCCTCCTGGGGACCTGGCCCGCAACCCAGGCACGTGCCCTGGCTGAAACTCCAACCTGTGACCCCTTGCTTCGCAGGCCGGCACTCAGTCCACTGAGCCACACCGTCCAGGGCTCAAAGGTTCTTTATATTAAGAATATGAACTGTATTTAATGACGAGTCAGCTATATACTGCTGTGCCTTTTCCAGAAAAACCCTCAGATCATGTATCTGGAGCAAGAGTTAGAAAGCCTGAAAGCTGTGTTGGAGATCAAGAATGAGAAGCTGCATCAGCAGGATGTGAAGTTGATGAAAATGGAGAAACTGGTACGTTTCCCTCAGAGTCTCGCCAAAGAGAACCGCGTCTGTGAACCAGGCACCGGGCCCTGAGCTAGGACTGTGGGGTGGTTTTAACAGCTCTGGCTCTCGCAGGCTGTTTGAAAACTTTACCAACAGTAAAAGAGGATTCCTTTTCTTTTCTGAGATTGCTCAAGGCTGAGTCATTGCTGCCCTTGGGAACTTTTTTTCTTTTTTCCAAGGAAAGTGCAAAGCAGCTTTGGGTCTTGGGGAAACCATGGTAGACAAATCAGGCTCCCATTTCAGTGGTCGATGAATCTTCCCCTGCACTGGAAGAATTTTTAAATAATGTAAAAGCAGTACTTTAACATATCATCACCTCTGGGTGGGTTTCCTATGCTCCAAACAGTTAGCTATGCGAGCCATTTAATCTTGCTGTCTAGGAGTCTGGCCAGGCGCAGGGGCTTGGCAAGGCAGCCTGAGGGCCCCCTGTCCCTGCTGGGCTCTGCCCAGGTCTGCACTCCTTGTCTCTGCTCCCAATTCCAAGGGACTGATTGCTGAGTAAGTGCATCTTTCACACCCAGACCAGCCCTGGGCAATAGGGAGCAAGGAGTCACTCTTTGTTGGCCTTTTTGTTTATTTGGCTTGTGGTGTTTGGTTTGCTTTTCTTCTAGAGACTGCCGCCTCTCTGTGGAGGGAGGCGAGGGCCAGGCTGCCACGTGCCTAGACGGGCACTCCGAATTACCAGGAAAGTTTGACTGTTTAAAGGAAGGAAAGGAACTCATGGTTGGTTAATGGGCCCAGCCTAGGACACATACCAGTTCCTGCCAGCATTATGCTGTTCTCTGAAGTCTGGCAGTCAGCGACGACTCAGATAATCCTGTTAATATTAATTTGTGGCCCCATATGCCTTCTGTGCATCACAGTTTTTCAGAATATCATGTGCAGTAAGAACAGGTCCTGCTGCAAAATCAGCAACACATTTTAGTTTTCCCGGCCGGTAAATATTTCTGGGTCTTGCTGCGGCCAGGAGCTATCATGGCATTAGCCAGCGCTATGCTGCGCAGGTGTGGAAGAGTGGGTTGGGATGAGGACAGGTAAACCCACAGCTACCTACTTATGTGTAAGCTTCAGGTCTTTGTGGAAAGTGAGGCCCTCAGAAAGCAAGGAGGCTTTCTCAGTGTGAAAGCGTCAGTATGAGAAGCCTGCTGCCCGTTAGCTCTGCGTCGTCGGCAGGGCAGGTGTGTGGCCTCCTCTACGCAGAGAGGGCTGGGGGAGAGGCTGTGCTAAGGCCAATCCCTGCCCAGTCTCCAATTGCAGGTTTCCCCCACTCAGGTTTTATCTTGAATTCCTTTATAATTACTGGAAATTCCAAGGCCTGCTTTTTCTCCCATTCCAGTCTCAGTTTTTAGAATGTTATTTCACCTGACTTACTCTGAGCCTTTTCTGGATAATAGGATTTGTCGAAGAACAACAGGATCCCAACTAAAAGCCATAAGCAAAGTCGATTAGTCATACAATAGAGTGAATGACAGGGACTTAGAGTTCATTGTGACAGAGCTGTGATGTCGCCTCCCAAGCAAATAGTAAAACTTACCTTTAGAAAGTGAGCTGGGATGGAATCAGCTCTTCATCATGTTACGTGATTAAGTGTCTTCTGGGATTGAATCCTTGAATCTCACAGCTGGTCAATGTGTTTTCCTTGAGAGTGTGCCTGGGCAGCCTGCAGGAGAGCAACCGTACTTTCAGTGGCACTGAGGGGGAGGCTTTCTGTGCTGGCGTGTCTCTCACTGGACCCCCTACCGAGCTTCTGCTCTGCGTGGCCTGTGAGCGGGAAATGCTAAAGAGGAACCAGGAACGCATGTTTACAGCCATGTTGAATGTCACCCAGAACTGCGACTTCTTGGCCTTTTGAGCGTCCATCCAATGTGGGGATTTTTTGTTTTACTTTTTATTTTGCAAAATGGACCATAAGAAGCTCTGGTGCCCTTGATAAAGGCGGGCTATTGTCTAGCTGCTGCTTTTGTTTTACCACCTTGACCCAGGTCTTGGGGGACCTCTACAACGTGTGATCTGGAACAACTCAGTGACCCCTCGATGCTCTGCTCTGCTTTAGATTCTGTTTTGCAGTGAGTCTGTGTATAGATATTTCAGTGCACAGTTAAACTTTCCTTAATTAGATCTCTTCAAAGTACACTCATGTCAGGAACGCGTCCTAGGAAATGAGGGGTTTTATGGGCCTAGTTTTAATGTATAATCGTTGGCATTCTTGTTGACACCCAGGAGGACAACAACACAGCGCTGGTGGACAAACTGAAGCGATTTCAGCAGGAGAATGAGGAACTAAAAGCTCGGATAGACAAGCACATTGCAATTTCAAGGTAAGTAGAAAAAGGTCCTGTTTCTCTGATTCCCCGTCCCCCTTTCCTCATACATTTAGTGTCACTTTCCCACCCTCCACCCAGGTGCCTCCTGCAGGTGGGACTGGAGAGGGTGGTTAAACAGGTACCGGTTTCTGGCTGGAAAATGTGAGGGGAGCACTTCGTGCTTTTACCACAGGGGCCTGGATGAAACCCTGAGACCCAAGCAGGCCATCCCCCGCCCCCGAGCCCCTGGCTTATTGAGGCTGAGAATGCTTTCCGAGAGGGAGCATCACAGGACCCGCTAGAGAACAGCCCCAAACCTAGGACAGTCATGAGACATGCAGGTTACCTGTGGGCGCATCACGGAGCCTCCTGTGAAAATGCCCCAAAGCGCAGTTCTCGCTTGGGCTCCAGCTCCCACGTCACGGGTGTCTTAGCGAGCTGAATGCCCGTGCCCGGTCGCGCTGCGCCAGGCTGCCTCTCGTTTTTCCCAACGGGTTGTTTTTCTGGACTCTCAAATTAAAATAGTAAGAGAAATTCGTTTCAAGTACATTTGTTTTAGAAACGCAGATCTACGTGGTTTCTGGCTCTTTTTTGTCTCGAAGGCAACTTACCACGGAGCAGGCCACCCTGCAGGAGTGGCTGGAGAAGGAGTCCAAAGTCAACAAGCGACTGTCCATGGAGAACGAGGAGCTGCTGTGGAAACTGCACAACGGGGATTTGTGCGGCTCCGACAGGTCCCCCACATCCTCCGCCATCCCCTTCCAGTCCCCAAGGAATTCGGGCTCCTTCCCCAGCCCCAGCGTTTCGCCCAGATGACGCTTCTGAAAGTGGGGAGACTGTCTGAGAGCATTGTTAACAGGTCTGCCGCGCTGACCGTGACCGTGGGCGTGGGATCAAGAGCCACGTGAGCGGACGTGTCACTACCGCACTAGAACTGGAAAGTCTTGACCCCCAGCATTGGCTTCTTGTGAGACGGGAGCTGGGGGGTGGGGGGGGACACGTGACTCTCTGGCCAGGAGACTCATCCCCAAATGATTTCAGAATCGATCGCACGGACACATGCACAACGCACTTAAAGAACATTGCCTTTCTCATGTACGCATAAGGGGAAAAACTCTCAGGGGCCTCTTCAGATAAAGATTTATAACCTTTATAATGTCCTTCATCACAGGCACCTTCTTGTGATTTTTATTTGGGGGATGTGTGAATAAAATGGGTGTAGCCGCGTGTCCTGTGTCTGATGCTGCCTCCTTCGCTGTGTATTGAAAGTCAAAAGCTGACCATTTCTGGATATGTACTTATCAGATAAACCAATGTAAGCATTTCTGCAAAAAGCCATAGAAGAGCGAGCAATAGTTGCTTGGATGATGACTCTGCACCACCCACTCCACTCTGCCCTTTGAGGACGGGGGAGGGGAAGGGCGGGGAGAGCTTTGACCTGCCCGTGCAGGGCGGCCTGGGTGTCCTCGTGAAGTATCCTGGCATCTGTTCAGTGTTCAGCCATGTCAGTTAAAACCAACTAGATTGTTTTTCTGTAGATTTTTAACTTCCCCATGTGAACCTAGCAATTTACTATGATCCATTTTCTCAGGCTACCAGCAAAGGAAAAACCCTACTTTTTCTAAGATTCTGCATAAAGAGAAGGGGCAGCAGCAGCGGATTGCTCCTGCCTCATGTTTACCTTGACCTGCGCTGTCCTCAGTGATGGAGAAAGTGGCGTTGTCTCCCAGCAGCCTCGCTTCCGCCCTCTCCCCCCTCCCCCAGCCAGAGCCACAAAAGCTAACCTTCTACCTCCCTCCCCTTTTTCCTCTGGGACAAGGATAATGGGAAAGGCTTTTCCAGAGCCAGCTCATCTTCACGGTGCTGAAACCACTTTCCAAATAAACCACAGCCTGGATCCCATGGTGCACATTTTAGGAAACCCTTGTGGGAATAAAGAATGAGTGATTGGCTGGCAGAACTGAGAAAGGTAGATTCAGTGCTTATCGATGAATAGGAGTACCTTGATTACACCAACGATGCAGCATTTAGAAGATAATGCTAAACTTCTGTGTACCCTCTGAGGGATCCTTCTGTCCTGGGGAAGGTAGAATGGCCAGCTGCCGAGTAGAAAACATGGCTTATATTGTAGAATTCTCCTCCAGGTTGCATTTCCATTTCTTTTCCAAACTTCACCTATTACCTTCCCCAATTCTAATACTTTGAGGGAGGTGGAAGGAAGAGCTGTGGCATTTTCCCACCCTCCCTGCACGCGTCAGCCTTGTGATGTCAGTATTTACTAATCCGCATTGCTGACGTTCGATGGCTGTACAAATAACCCCTAGAGTAAGAACAGACTCAGGATACTAGAGGTGGATATTTGAGTCATCATTTACTTGTACACTACATAGCAAATTAATGTTCATGATGCATGTTTTGTTTTATTCTTAGTGATTGTGTCTGAAGTCTAAACTTCAGTAGTTGATTATGTATGTAAGCTTCCATGTTTGCTCTGATACATGAGAACTAGGTTCACGGCCACCTTCTGAAATCTCTCTTTGCCCTTTCCAGTTGTTCTCGATGTCATTAGCCAAAGGTGGATCTGCCATCCATCCCCTCGCACGGTAAATCGCGAGCTGTTCCCTGCTCTCCTGCACACCATGTAGGTGTCTGCGAAAATCAGTCTTACACAATTATTATAAAGGGTCTTCAGAGAACGGGAGGGAACTGGAGAGAAGACAGGAAACAAAACAGAGAACTTTTAAGGTTTTTTTCTTTTTCCAAACCAAATGTTTCACATAGGATGCAAAATGTTGGCACGTCATGAAATAGACGATGTGTAAAAAAAACTGTAATTATGCTCCGTTTGTAACGATGCAAAGTGTATTTTTACCTTGATTCAATAAATAATGCTGGAATATTTAATATAAGAAGTGTAACCTGTGGCATACTTCACTCCAAAGGGTTACCCAGCTACGGTCCTTTTCTAGCACAGGACTTGGCGTTGTGTTTCCTCCTAAGCCATTTCCCAGGAATTTCCAGCAAAACCACAAAGTTGGCCATGGGCTGAGATTTGGCTTGCAGAGCTAAACTTAGACTAAGATTTTTTTTTTTTATTTTAATTTGAGGGCTATATGGTTTTGCAGAAATAACTTTTGACTTGTTTTAACAATTTCTGCTCTTCAAGGTAAGAAAATGGGAACAACTATGGTCTAAATATTTTTGAAGGAGCTAAAAAAAAATCTAAATGAAGTTGAATTTTCCTTGATCTGTACTTATTTTATAGTGAAAATTGAACTTTTAAAAGCACATGCTGTATATCTTACTGAATGTACTAATCTAAAGCTAGTACTTCTGAGTGCAACAGTTCTTTTTTTAATAAAACAAGTTTCTATGAATTTTTTTGGCTATCATAGTTCATAGAGTTGAACTGTATATCACTACAGTTTTAGAATCTCCAGTATTGTGATTAAATCCAATGGAATATTAGGTATTAGCTCCAACATTACTACCAGCACATCCTTCTGCCAACCTAAAAAAACAAGCACTTAGCCCAGCTCTTGAATTTTTTTTTTACAAAAACTTGCTCATTTAATAGAAATGATTATATAAAGTTGTTTACATATATGCTTTCTTAGTATAAAAACTAGAAACGCATATACGTAGGTAAGCAATCAAAAGACATGCTTTCTGTCAGAGGAGTTAACACTTCTATTATTAGACCGGATGACTTCCTGTTAGCTTGGATGTCTGGGTCTTACTCACAAGGCAGGGGCTGGGGTTTGGCACTGGATATCAGCCTCTGGCAAAGCACGAGTCAAAAGAATGCCCAAGCTGGTTGCACGCGCAAATGGGCTCTCCATCAGTTCATTATACTTCACTTTCCAAGTCAGGAAAACTCAACAGTGGTAGCTACTGTAGTCTGTCCTCGGAGATTCTGGGCCGTGCAAATGTAATACCCCGCGTCAATGGTCTCAAAGTCTTCAACTGTTAAGACGCTCTGGGAGATTCTCGTGGTGTGTCCGAGTCCTCTGTGGATCAGCCTCCAAGTGTCTTGAATCGTCACGGGCCTTTCATCCTGTTTAACGACACCCACAGGGACGGAGACAAGAAGGGCGAGCTGCTATAAACAGCTCCCTTCTTCTCCCCACTGTTCCACACTTAGCAAAGACTATTTGGTGTGCGTGGCTCATGGGCGCTTATACACTGTATGACCATTTTCGGCTGCATGCTTTTCAAAGTGGAGTCTGCGATTTCATTATGCTCTTTGACTCGCTGCCCTTTTCGTTAGAAAGTTCCTACGTAATATAATGTTGATTCCTTGGAACTCCAAGAATATAGACCGAGTATTAGTCACAAAAACATGGATAAAATTTTCCACCCTTCTCTTCACGTGGCCCATTTTCACCCTCTCACTCAGTGGTTTTTATTCACAGAATTTATAGTCAACAAGAGCCCAAAGCACTCACTATGTAAGTGAATAAAAGCTCCCGGTTCAGATTTGGGAGAAGGAGAAGTATGATTAGTCAAACGTGCCCAGGGCTCCAGGGGGAGGGCAGTCGGACCAAGGATGGATCATGTGATGCCCAGATGACGTGACTCCCTATTTCTAGGAAGTCAAATGGTCACTTTTGAGACGCTTCCTCCAAATTTGGTGATAAGCACGTAGTGTTTTCTGGGTTAGTGTAATAATGGTAATACAGTGTTACTAAAATAACCCCCCTTCTGCTCCTAAAATAATTATCATGTAGGATATCATCTCTACTGAACATCATTAATGTTTTCTAATCGTGACAGCTGTTTAAAAACAAGCACCTAGTACCAGAATGCTGGAAAATAATATTCTCCAGGCAGTTACTGCCCACCAATCACAGCCCTTGAGCAGAGGCGTACTGACTACTGGGTACATCTCAGGAGGCCAAATCTCTTCTGGCAACAAAAGAGTTGTTCCATGTTGGTAGCAAAGCTGTTTATATTAGCAGGACATGCACAGAGGCTAAACAATAAGCTGTAGCTGCTTTTATGGGAAGTCTATTTTAAGATGATCTCTGGCCTCACAGAGCCTTTTGGATGCGGCCTGTGTTTCCCTGCCCACCTCGATGTCTGCTCAGAGCTCCTCACCACAGGGCACAGCTTGCAAGCAAGACACTCAGAAGGACACCAGAAGGAGGTCCCTTCCGGTCCCTCTCAAGCCCCTGTCCCTTCTTGTTTAAGAATTATGAGGAAAAATCACATATGAAGAGGGTACACTGAGTGAATCGCCTAACAGAACCCAGTCACCTTTTCCCTGTCTATTAAATTAAGAAGCCATTTGTAAATATACTGAAACATCTTAGAGGAAAACAAGTAAGCTCCAGAGCCTACCATGGTCCCAAACGTTTTGTGTGCTTGTAAATTAAGGTCTTCACCTCCGGGAGGTGGGCGGCGGGGAGACAAACCTGGATGAAAACAAGGTGCTGAGTCTAGGACAAGGTGCTTACCTTCTGCCCCGGGTAGATCCACCTGAATTCCACCTCCACGTCAGGCTCCCCTAGGACAGTGCAGAGGACGCTGATGTCATCCCCACTTTTGACCTTGTTGGAAGATGCCAGAATGGTTGTGGATGGAGGGCCACTGGGAACTGGAATTAAGCAGGAGACAGAGCAAGTGAGATGAAATTCATGAGCACAACACTGAAGGCCAAGCTACGAACACACTCTTTTCTTTGGACAGATATGTAACTTTTTGCCTTCCCCAGTGAGCACCCAGCCTCCTCCCACCCACCGCTTTGGTACCCTTGGAAGCCTCCTCTCTTTCTCTACCTTGCCGGTCCCGAATGGGGTCATAGCCCAGGACTCCCCACCATCAGCCATTCCCCCTGTAATTTAGGGGAGGAAATTAAAGGTCTGCCAGGGGTTCATAGGAAGGGAACTAAAATGTTGAGAAAGAAGGAGGTACTTGGAGAGGAAGCAAGTGGAATGTAGAGAGGGCAACCTTAGGGACAGAGGTGAACAGAAGGATGTGTGCCCTGAGAAGACAGATTTTGGGTAAAACAAGGAGCATGTTCGCACCTGAGAATATTTTAAGAAGGGTTGGGGATTTTGGAGAATTGCTGATCAGTCATACAGAGTTCGTACCAGAGTGAATGATGGATGGATTTGGAGACAAGGATGTCAAGGGTTGTTGGGTCAGGGACACAGACAAGGAAGTAAATAGAACATTCTGGAAATGGGAGTGCAGTAAAGGAGCCATTTAGAACAGAATTCTGTGCCTCCTAATTTCCACCCATACTTGGGAACGTCAGTACCTGCTACTGACCAACAGGAAGCAACTAAAACTAAGCACTGGTAGGAAACACTCTTACCTTCTGCGTAAAGGAGTTGATACTTGACAGAGATTTGAGACTTGCCCCCAGCCTCGGCCTTGCAGTAGACCACCCCCTGGTGGTCAGAATGAGGTTGCAGATACACAAAACCTCGCTTCATGTCATAAATAATATCTGTTCCATTGGCGGGAATTTCCTTGGCGGGAAACTCCCTGTGGAGAGTGACTTTGGCTGATAGGACGGTCACTCGACAAGGAACCACAGCCTGTCTGTCTGGGTTCAAGTAGACAACATCAAAGTAACTGGGAGAAGGTACAAAGAGTTCTCCTTTCTCTGCAAAGGAAAAGATACAGGCTTCTTTATTCCGGAGAAACATGGTAAAGAGCACACTTTATGGATTCATGTCTCCAGGGCACAAAGATAAGAGAATACTGGCAATACACTGAGCATACTGAGTCCTTATGAATAGAAAAAGCTATTTTTATTTTTTATTTTTTAAAAGATTTTATTTATTTTAGAGAAGGGAAGGGAGGAAGAGAGGGAGAGAAACATCAATGTGTGGTTGCATCTCGCGTGCCCCCTACTGGGGACCTGGCCTGAGCCCTACACTGGGAATCGAACCAGCAACCCTTTGGTTTGCAGGCCGGCACTCAATCCACTGAACCACACCAGCTAGGGCAAAAAAAGCTATTTTTAAAATAATTTTCCTCTTTTAGAAGAAGGATGTTACTGCCCATTGCCTTTACAATACGTCTTAGTTCAAGTCCAAACCAGGCACATGGATTACCCACCTGGAGGAAGCAGGGAAGAGGCTGATTTCCTTATGTTAAGAGCAGTTTTCAGCCCTCTGCTGCATCTCTGGAGGAATGAGCCCCATAGCCTGCGCTCAGTGACTGCCGCCTGGGGGCACGTCCCAGCACGGCAGAACTGCCCAGCCCATGGGCCTCCCTCCTGCCAAGGCCAGTACAAAGGGAATAAAGGGAGTTGAGTAGAGACAGGTGAGGAACCCACTCACCTGCTCACCTCCGGTGCTGAGCTCAGCTTGGCTGCCCCTAGGTTGCAACCTCTGGCCCGTTTCTTAAACTCCTCCTGCTTCCTCTGAAATCACCGCATGTTGTTTAAGCACTAGAAAATGGACTCTCTATCTTACAGAAATGAGGATGGGCTTACCCATCCTTTCCTTAGTACAAAGGACTCTGAATTGTGGTTTTTTTTGTTTGTTTTTGGTTGGTTGGTGGCATGGTGCATAAAATCTTTTGTTTTCTATACTATGAGAGATTATAGTAATTAAGAGCAATCTTTTCACTTAATTATACCCCAACATTTGTTAGATTGTTTCCCATGTTTTTCCTGCAGCGTTCCTGAAACAACCAATTATTCTTGGCTTTCTCTTTTACTACCCTTCTTTGTGCCACAGTTACAGGATGTTGGTGTTGGGGACAGAAGTTCTGGGTGTATTATCAAGCATCTTCATGAGCCAAGAGTTCTTTGGCAGTGGGTGCAGGTTAAGCAACACAGAGGTCTTCTCCCTGGCTCTGACTGAGGTCAGGAAAGGATTCGACATGGCTCAGCAAGGCCCTACCTTTTGCTAGGCTTTGCGTCAGGTCGGGTGTTTATGCCACTTCATGATGAACAACTTTTAGGCTTAGACAAGGGGCACCTTTGTCGGTGTGGTCCCCAGTGGTCCTGCATTCACCAAGAGTAAATGGGTGGGCCTGGGATGTCTCCTTTCCCATTTGTAAAGAGAAGACTCCAGAGGAGACCGTATTAGAGGTATCTTTTTGGCAAAAACATTTAAGTAATTTGCAGTTGTAATGTTTAGAAGCCACTTCTGTTTTAACATTTTGTAGAGGAAACTGAACCAATAAGCAAAGCCAGTGGATAACAATCGGAATTTCCAAACACAAAAATGTGGCCTGTCTTCTTTGCATGCTTTGAAAGAAGAGACCACACCAGTTGCTTTAACAAACAAAGAAAAAACAAAAAGAAAAGAATTCCTTTATAATCACTGCATTCCATCACCAGTACATTCCATCTACCAAAAAAAGTATGTTAAAGTTCATTTAAAAAATTATAGATGACATATGTCCCCTGCAAGTGTTTGTGTCTACTTGTGTAATAAACATTAAGAAAACTAAACACATGAAAATTTAGATTTCCAAAAAAAATTAGAGTTAATAGCCTATAAACTAAAATCCAAATTATAATCAACTTCATGAAAGTGCTCATTAATGTGGTTTCACTACATAAGAAAATTGGGGCCCTTTGCTATGAGAAAGGCCAATTGCCAGTAATGTCCTCCTTCTTGATCTGGTGGTAGTTACATGTGACTTGAGGATAATTTATTAAGCTCTATAGTTTTAATTCGTGTTTTTTTCCTTTGTTATACTTCAATAAAAAGAGAGGGAGGAAAACACCTTTGAGTGCCTCCTGGATAAGAGTAAATATAATGTGTGACAGTTGCACAAATTAACATAAAAAGTGCACATACAAACAACAGTCAAAAAGACGCTTCCCAGTGTTGGCAATCAGGCTCCGGGAAACATACACGCATAATGAATGCCAGACGTTTCCCTGTGTGGGCGGTGGGGAAGCATATGTTTTGAAGGATCCCAGAGCCAGCAGCAGAAGCTCAGCTCTCCTAACAGCCCAGCTAGGTTTTGCAGACCCACCCTGGCCGGAAGAGACAAGCTGCTGAACCCTACACTGTACACTGAACTTTGTGTTGAGTGAGAAAATGATGCAGCACATTAGGTCACATCCCTTTTTGATCCAGGTTTCTTAAATGGTGAACTAAATATTAATCGGAGGGGGCAGTCCTTTGATTCACAAAGGGGCTTCCATAAACCGAGGCAGAGCACCTGCCTCTAACAACCAAAGAGAGCCCATAGGACCTTCCGCTCAACGGAGATCTTCAGTTCAAACACCAGTATTTTGGGACGCAAGAATGCCAGCAGTGGCAGCAATTCTTTATTCTATAATTGGAAGTACGGTCTCAGTCCTCAGCTAAAATCACAGGCTCTCATTAGTCTGAATTAGTTGCCTTTTCCATTGTTGCCTCCCTCCCAGTGCGGGGTAACAGTAAGGCACCCAGGGTCCGTAGCACATTCCAGTACAAGGATTGGGGGGTTACATGTGAAGATCTGTCGCCCGTTCTCCCAACAGCACCTGTTCTGCTAGCCAGTGCCTGCCGTCTGCCCACCAATCAACCGCCTTGTTTCAGAAGTGGGTTAGGGCAGCGAGAACATCCAACCCTGGGTCAGAAACACAGGGTTTGCCTCTGTATTCCGCCACTGCAAATCATGAAACATTAAACGGGTCCCTTTGCCTTTTGAGTCTCAGCACCAGCATCATTATTTCGAAAACAGAGATAATGGAGCCATTTCTACTAGGTTCCCCGGGGGTGGGGCATGGTGCAAGCGCAATGAGACACGTGGGCCTCCGGGACTGCAGAGTGCGCCTTTCCTGCGTCTGCTCGCCAGAGGGGAGCGATCGGGACAGGAAGGGATTACACCTGAGACTGGGGTATCGGCAAGGGCATAAGATCATGAGTCATAGGCCTAAATCACTAAGGTATGAAAGGGAGGTGGACTCAGGAAGGAGACAGCTCTCCTGAAAGCCCCGTCCGGACACTAAGAAAGCACTCTGACCTCGCCTGAAATGTCTTAGGCCACAGCAGCCCCAGAGGGTGGCACTTGTAAGATTCCTGAAAGCGGACCTCTGAGGCTTGTTGGAGAGCGTCAGCCGCCAGACTTGGGGTGAGAGAGCTGCAGAGGAAGGAGGCTGACAAGCGACCCTGCAATGCCTGCCTCTCCAAGTGCGACGCCACCAGAAAAAATGCACTAAGCACTCCCGGGTCGGAGAGGCGTGCGCTCTGACCTGCACCCTTTCGGACACCTCGCTTAGGCCTCCTGCCCCCAAAACTTCAGCTCTCGGTACTCACAAGAGCAAACACAAGGGGCCTTTGCCAGGCCTCCCATGACTACGGCGGTTCCAGAAAGGGGATCATTATCGGTTCGGAGGGCATGTGACTACAGGTGCACAGGAGGGCTGTCCAGGAGAGCATTCTGCGGTGGCAGAGATGTGTTTTGTCGACGGTGTCCCCTGGGACAGCCACTAGCCACAGGCGGCAATGGAGCCAATAGTGAGGGCCATGGAGAAACTGAGTTTTAAATTTTGTTTAATTTTAATTAATTTCCATTTAAATGTAAAGAGCCACAGGTGTCTAGTGGCTATCCTGTTGGACAAATATAGGTCCAGACTCTGGAGTCAGACGGTTCTGGGTTCAAATCCTGATACAGCCATGACTTGCATTATGACCTTAAGGACTTATTCCATCTCTCTAAATCTCAACTTTTCCATTGGGAAAAATATATATGAAGGATAGTAGTACTTACCCTGAAGGGTTGTTGAGAGACTTACATGCACTAATGGACGGAAAGCGTTGAGCCCAGAGCCTAGCAAAGAGTGGGTGCTCTGACTGTCATTATGTGATGGTCAGCCCCCAGCAGGAACTGTGAACCTGGGCAAGCGCAGAAGTGTGAAGGGCTCCACTAACGCAGCAAACCTGTTACCTGTAAAAACGATGTAGGTGGAGCCTGTTTTGGCCTCGTCCTTCCTGCAGACGTAGCCGGTGCAGAGCTGCCCCCAGCAGCTGAACTCGCCAGTGTCGGCCGCGGTGGAGTTGAGCAGGGTCAGCTGGCCGTAGCGCTCATTCTGCTTCACGCTGTCAATAGAAGCAAAGCCAGGTCGCACGCCTGGGCCTGGGCCTCGCGGCCATCACCCGCTGCTTCCTGTTCTCACGTCCGAACGCCCCAGTGGCTCCGGGAACAGTGCCCTCCCTCAGAGGGCGCAAACGAATAAAAGCGTGTTCGGGGAAAGCATGTGTGCGGAGGGAGAGGCAGAGAGAGAAGCCTTGCCTACAAGGACATTTTAAAAATGGCAGTCATGTCTTCTAAAGAGAGGGCATTCTCTTCGACCTCAGAACAGGGGTTTCCTTAAGTAAATCACTGGTACATTGTGACACAGCCACAGAGGCTTGACCGAGAAGCCTCGGGCAGGTGTTTGGCTTTCAGCTTTTGTTTTTCATGAGTTCATTGCAATAACAGTTGACATGTGAAATAACCCAGCATTATGAAGTGTGCAAAGCCTCTTTCATCAATAAGGATAAGTCCCCGAATACAAGCTTGGAAACTTCAAGATGCTACAGGACTACATTAAAAATAAAAATTTTGTGTAATTCCCTCAAGATTAGGCTAAGTGAAATAAGTCCGACAGAAAAGTACAAAAATGCTATGATTTCATTCACTGTGGAACATAAAACAAAAAATAAAATAGGAACTGACAAAATAAACAATAACAGACTCGTAGATACAGACAACACGATGGTAGTTACTAGAGGGAGAACGGGGTGGGGGGAGGGCGAAGCGAGTTAAGGGGGTCAGATATATGGTAGCAGAAGGAAACTCGACTTTGGGTGGTGAGCGCACATAGAGTATACAGATATCAAATTATAATAATCTTGTTCACCTGAAAATTATATAATGTTATTAATCAATATTGCTCCATTAATTTAATAATAAAAATAAACATAAAATATAAGCAAATAATTACACGTACAAAATGAAAATAAAACTTTCCCTTAGACCTCCAGTCAAGATGGCAGAGTAGGTAAACGCTGTGCTCACCTCATCCAGTAACCACCTCAAAATTACAACTAAATTACAGAACAACCGTCATTGAGAACCACCTGAAGCCTAGCTGAATGGAAGTCCTGTAAGGATGAAGCCATGACAAGACCACTTCTGGGTATTTTATCCGAAGAAATCCAAAACACTAATTTGAAAAGACACATGCGCCACTGTGTTCACTGTAGCATTATTTGCAACAGCCAAGATGTGGAAGCAACTTAACTGTCCACTGATAGATAAATGGATAAAGAAGAAGTCACACACACACGCACACACACACACACACACACACACACACACACCGGAATATTACTTGGCCATGAAAAAGAGTGAAATTTTTGCCATTTTCAACAACATGGATGGAACTAGGGAGGCTTATACTAAGTGAAGTAAGTAAGACAGAGAAAGACAAACACCATATGATTTCACTTATTTGAGGAATTAAAAAACAAAATAAAAAAATAGAAATAAACTGATAGATACAGAGAACAAATTGATGGTTGCTAGATGGCAGGGGGCGGTTTGAAGGGTAGGTGGAAAAAGGGAAGAGATTAAGAAGTAATTTCCAGTTACAGAAAGAGTCACAGGGATGTGAAGTATAGCACAGGAAATGTAATCTATAATATTAAATAACTATGTATTATATCAGATGAGACTTATTGGGGGGATCGCTTCGTAAGTTATATAAGTGTTTAATCACTATGTTGTACACCTAAAACTAATACAATATTGTATATCAACTATAATTGAAAAATTTAAAAACAATCTTAAAATGAGCATTAGATAAAAAAGGAGAAAAATTTGAATAAACTATTACCTTTACTTAATAATGTATCGATATTGGTTCATTAGTAGTGTCACATGTACCATTCTAATGTAAGATGTCACTAATAGTGGAACTGGGCATAGAGTATTCAGGAATTCTCTGTACCACCTTTGCCCAATAATTCTGTAAATAAATCAAAAGATGTTCTAAAATAAAAAGTTTATTATAAAATTTTTTTTAAAAAATCCACCACTTTCCTTTAGGAAAAAAAATCCATTAGTTGCTAAGAGGCCAAGCTCCCATCATGCAGTTTACCTTAGGTAAAAAGTATCTAGAGCTTTCTTTGGGCATTCACACTTCTCCTTTGCCTCACTCTGCTAGTTCTGCTTTTATCTTCTCATGTTTTACCTCTTGTATTTTTATCTTGCTGCCCGTGACTATATTTGCAAACCTCTTTCATTCTGAAATGAGGAGATACATGAATAAATATTTATTACTATTAAATGCTAGCATTAGCTAATTGTCATGGTAATTAATTGTGTCAGAAATCCAGCCAGGTGTATCCTGCTGGGAAAGACGCTCCCCCGCAGCCCAGCATGTGTGGGTGCCAAACTAAATGGTTTTAATCTGAGGATGCATCTCAAACATCTAAAAGTTTCACTCCTCGGAGGTCCACATACGTTTCGGATATAGTCAAGATTCTCCAGTCTGATGTAGCAGCAACATCAACATAGTCACCACTTTAAATTTAGCACACAGCAGAACGTCTGGCCGGTTGGTCTTAAACACAGCCTGCTCTGGTTTACTGCTGAATAGCTGCTTTGCCCACCAGTTCTGCCAAGAGGCGCTTCTGTACGCCCACTCGGTCGACTGCCTCCTTTCGACTGAACGGAAATCTCTCCTCCTTCAGGAACCTTCTAATTAGAATCAGCTCTCAGGAACGAACCTCCCTGCATTCTCCCAGGGATGTAACCGGCTCCCTGTTCTCTACCCCGCAGGCACCCCTGGCTGCCTGTTCCTACAACGGATGGTAAAAACTCTGAGGGCAGGGACTGTGCCATGTTTGCGTTATATTCTCCAAGCCGTAAATCTGTGAAAGTGCGCAGTAAGCATTCCCTAGAAATGAGTGGACTAAAATCGAACTGAACCAGAGGTTGGAACCTTCAAAAGCAGATACCCCACTCCTAGTATTGCTGATGAGGGAGCTGAGTCCCGGCAGAGGCAGCTTCCTTGGGGCCTAGCTGGTGAACATGGAGTCGGTTACTTAAGTCAATAAAGTATGTGCTGAATACTCACTCATTAGATAAAAAAATGCATATAAAGCAGTTCTAGACATGCCTAGTTCATTGTATTGTTCTAATTATATCTTCATTACACATTGTTGCAGATTAGTAGTAGCTATTACGAATACTACTTCAACCATGACCAAGTGCACACACACACAACATTGGGAATAGTGAGCACCACAAATAAAAACTGGTAGACCTCAGGGATATTACAATCCTGTTAGGAATTAAAACTAATATACAAGGAAGATCAGAAAATCACTAAAGGGGTGCTCACAGCGAGAACAAAAGGAATTCTGCAAAGGGGTTCACCACTGCGGGTTGAAGAGGCTGCGGGCCGCTTTGAGGAGGAGGTGAGACAGGCTGGACTCTTAACTGTGGGGATGGAGGGGGGTGGGCAGCGAGGGGGCGGAGAAGCAGTGAGCTCGCTTGCGTAGGATGCTCCTGCCCCACGAGGGCTGGGCGGGACCTGGTCTGCTCTGTTCACGGCCATGGCCCCAGTGCATGGTGGGTAGAAGGCACTCAATAACAATTTGGGGATTCGATCCATTAATTATGGAGGAGACAGAGGGAGAGGGGTTGGGAGTCATAGGCAGGTGGCTGAGAACAGCAAGAAGGATGCACGTTTCACTCAGCAGGCAGCCGGGACCCCCCTCAGCTCTGGAGATGGGGAGCGATGCGCTCACCTACACTGGGACACCAGCGCAGAGAAGAGGAGTCGGGGAGGCATGAGGAAGAGGAGAGGCTGAGAGGCTGTCAGTGCAATGCTGGGCCAGCGTGGGGCCGGGCTGCCTGCAGGCGGCGGCACGGAAGCAAACTTAAGGAAAGTTTTCTGGGGGAAAATTGATGACAGATGTAGTATGAGCAGTGGGAGAAAGAGGGGTATCCATAAAGACCACTTGGTCCGTATTTCTGTTGAAAAGAATGGGGTTTTAATTGCCTGAACCCTTGCGAAGAGAAAGGAGATTGGGGTAGGCGCAATAATAGATTCAGTATTGGTGATGTGGGACTCATGATCAGATGCGGGCCATCTCCGTGGGCATGTCCTCCGGGCTGTTCGACATCCGAGCCTGGCAGAGCGGAGCGCGTGAAGTCAACAAGATAAAGCAACACGACAAGGGAAGCGTAAGGACAAAATCTAGAGCCGAACTGGGGGGCCAGAAGGAAAAGGAAGAGTAGAGAGAGGGGAGAGAAAAAAATCAGGAAAGAAAAGGAATTGGCACAGGGAATCGTCCAGGAGAAATATTCAAGAAGGTGATGCTCAAAAGATCAGATGCCTTTGAGGGATTGGTGACCACATACATATACACACATACATACTCACACAGACTTCGTTTGGCCAAATGAAAGTCTTTGGCAACAACCAAAAAAGCAATTTCAGTTGTGAAGATGGAAGTAGATTTCAGCAGATAAAATTTGGAATGGCAGAGAGAAAAAGGAAGCGGGGGTCTTCCCACGTAAACCATAATGTCTCAGCCACATCCCCTGCAGAGCTCGACACCAGGGTACAAAATCAGAAAATAATCAATACATTTTTTTGGCACTTCCTCTGGGCCCAGCATTTGCTAGCACTGTAGTGATGAAAAGCATATGATGCCATTCCTACCAGGAAAGGAATTGGCACATAAGAATTTAGCACTTGGGAACAACTCTACCACCCCATGAAATCTGCATGCTGTATCTTTAGCAGGACTGGGGGTGGAAGGAAGGAAATGCACTGGAAAACATTTCTGGATTTTTCCACCCCCTCTCATATGCAAACAATATAAAACAGGAAACAAATTATTTAGCAGGATTACAATCTAAATGCCTGGATTTCAATGTCTATTTCTACTGATGGTCTCACACACACAGTCCAGGCGGCAGGCTACCCAAGGGGCTGGACTATGACCCAACGCCACCGGAGGAAAAGCCTGCACCACAAAATGGAGGCACAAATTCACAGAGCCCTTCAGAATGTTGTATAGAGATGCTTCACCCAAAG